AGTAAAAGAATTCGTAATTACTTAGCGCAAAGGTCGTCCGTCAATCGAAATTGAAAGGTTGTATGATTATCTAACAATTGATGCTTATTTTGTGGTACTGTACCTGCTATTATAGGATGAACCTTTAAATTTGGGACACTGTATATTTCCTAGCCTCTTCGAGAACGGCCGTATTGATTTGTACCAAATCCAACCATCAATTCTAGAAAACGCTATAATTAAGGTAACGTAATTTTTAGATTTGTATAACAAATTACGATCGGTTTGTGGTTTATAAAATAAATTTTCGCGACTTAAAACAACAATTGCGGTTCTAAAACCAGTATAGAGAGACATTTTGCCGAAAAGAGACAGGGACACAGACGGAACGATTAGCACTGTAGGTATATACTAAACCATACTGTAACTGATATACACAGGTATAAGCGAATATAACATACATGGATATACAATAAACCATGTAGTAATACGTGTTAAGTGCGAGATCATTAGTGAAAGCGAAATATAAACATTGGAAGTGGCAAAACAATAATGGATTGAGCATTTTGGTTTGAGAGATGTACCACAAAAAGTGAATACCGGCGCAAACATGGTTCGTATACAGGGACATCTATTAGTGTAACGTAAAACTTCAATAGGAGAACTATAATAAACGGAACAAGAAGCAAAATTAAAAATAATTGTGCAATATGCGTAGTGAAATTGTAAATTTCTCGTTTTCTATTCCTTTTTGGAATTTCATTCGAAGTTGTTCCTAGTTATGAACTCAATCGAAACTCGAGACTCGAGATGCATGTATACAATTCCAGTTTCTGTTTTTCGAACTTGCCGGTGTTCTCGTGTTTCTAAATCGCAATTATAATAATTCGTGCAGTTCGAAGTTCGTCGCCCCCCTCGCGTCAAATGTCGGCATTTTAATTAACCGGATCACCCTCAAAAACCACCAGGGCCCGATGAATCGAAAAACTCACGCGCCGTACCCGACCGCAACACTTTTTCCATAATCCCGTTTAATGCCCCAAAACGAAATTTGAATAAAGCGAACGAACGCAAAGAGTAATTAGCATTTCCAATATTTCGCAAATTCCCCATATACCCACTGCCCGTACATAATTCTATTAAAAGTTGAGGATAATTTTCAAGTTTCTAGTTTTTAATTACGTCGTCGCGGCGCTCGCCGCATTCTCCCCCCAGATTCCTATCTTGAAGTCCAGCTGGGGTATCTATTCAGCGCGACGGTTGCCGTGGAAACGGCGCATTGTAACACACAGGGAGGACGAGAGAACAATATCTTGGAAATAACGCTAAATAATATTTATTGCCGTTGTGGAATTAATGCCGAGTAAAACTTGTTTACATATTAGCTAATGGGTAAATGATTATCTTATGTAAATGGCGGCTAAAGTGTTTATTAAATACAACCTGCGATTTACGGCCGTATTAATTGATGCTAACAGATGCCCGAATGTTTAATATAAGAAGGGGTAATCCGAAACGAAGGGATTAAAGATGTAGACACCAAAAACATTGAGTAATGCAAAGCGGATTAAACACTGTTAGTAGCAGAATAAATGGAGCAATTTAGAACTGTTTCATAAAGGATTAAATGTCGAAAGTGGAAATCTCCTCAAAATTCTGCATATTCCTCGCGTTTGCTGCTGTTTCGGTTGCCTTTAGCGAATTACAAAATTAGAGGTTGTGTTCGAGGATACTCTCGACTGATGGTTCTTGCGTCTCCTAAATGCAATTAAGATTGTAATTATAACGTCTGTTATGAACAGATCCTGAAGCCGCTGTGTGATGCATGCGAGCTTTCCAGTTATGTTCGATGTTTTAGTTCAGTGGATGTGACAAAACACTATTCCCAGAGACGCCGGTGCAATTAAAGTGCTTGATGAATAGTACAGTAGGACCGCACGTATTTTGATTCACCACAATTGGGTTGCTCCCACTTGAAATTGATCCTTTGTCGTACTAACCGCATTATTTTCCATTATATCATCTAACAAAGACGTCCATAACACAACAAAAAAACATTCCTCACAATTTGCTACAAAGCCTCTTTATTTGAAACTTTGCTGCCATTGTTAACTTCCAACCTGTTATAAAATTGTCACAAGGACGCTCCAACTTCAATGACGTTGTTAAATGATTCCTATCCTATACCCTTAATATCTGATTTTATTGATAAGTTCGCTATCAAACTGCCTTTCTCCCGATTTTTAATTAAATCCTGCGCATACATCCACGAGGAGAGAGCGGACGGGGAGTCATATTGTGACATAATAGTGCCATCGTGGCGCATACAATTGGAAACGGACTGTTCGAGAAAATTGAGTCGTGGTTTAAGATAAAGGACGAGTCAGCAAAATTGAATCTACTCAACTGACGACTGCCTGAAGCGATGTGTTTATATCTCCTTGCATTTCTAACAGGGCGGTATTTAAAGAAAAATTTGTTTTGGTCATATTGACCAAACCATTTTTAAATACACAATTTGTGTCGGGAGAACATAAGGCGCAAAGATGTTATGAAAAAGATTGGTATCAGGAGAGCCTGAAAAATGACAAGTGTGGTGACACACCCCTACGGTTAGGCAACACACCTTACAGCTGAAAGAATGGACTATGGAACAAGTATGAATTGTGTACAACTCTTGCGCAGATAAAGCGCTTTTTTTTAAACCGAAATAGCTTAGGAAATTGTTGGTTTATAAGGGGAGGAGGCACTTTACACATAAACATTTAAAGACCGCCTGGCATACATACAAAAGCCTTCGACACTTCATTTTGCAGACATTTGCACTGAAAGCTTCGACTTCACCAAAAGATATGTCTCGTCTAGTCGATTCATTTTGCCTGTGAGAGTACTTTCCTCCGACAAACCGTTTTCGAGACATTCGCTCTTAAAGTTTTGAAATCAACCATCACCCTTTGTGAGTACCCTCTTCCGACAATCCGTTCTGAAGATATAAGGGAATATATCCGATCACGATAAGGGTTCGAGGAGGAGGACTATGGTTGATAGAAATTAATTCCTTTCGTTGAATCCTTTTATTAGAGTACCATGAAGGATAAAACCAGATCCACTGCCCACCCCCTCCAAACCCTCTTTTTATAAGGAATGCGTATGCAAAATCTGAGACCAATTGGTTATCGTATGTAAAAGTTATGCACGTTTAACTTTCAAAAACAGCATCTCAGAAATTATCAGGCCCCCCCCCCCCCCAAGACATTTTATTTGGATTCAGCGCCTACAGTAATGTTGGGTCACCATGTATGTGCGAATTTCAATTCAATTTATTGCATAATCGCTTATTAATTCGTTCATTTTATTGTTCAGATGCAACTCCGTGAATTCTGTTACTAAGGTGTCTCATACTATCTCTGGTTATTACGATAAGAGTGTTAAGGCTGCGTGAGCTAAATAAATTTGTAGATAAGCGGGTTTCGGCGATAAAAAAACACAGAGGTTATATTCGACGACGCACTCATTTTAATAAGAAGGGGGAGGTGGTTCGGAAAGTTGAAAAGAAATAGAAGTTGTTTTAAATAGAAGAGACGCACGTTAATAATTGCTTTTTTGATGGTCGAGGCTTTTGGTGTATTTCCATCATCAAAGAGCCAAGAATCAGTGATTGAAACGAACCTAGTGTCATCTAAATCGATATTCAAGTGTAATTAAAGTAGAAACGTGAAGTCTCGGAAGCAACATCCGTTGGTTTTTGTATGTGATTTTTCATTAGTAAAAGACAATCGCAATTGACCGGATATTTTCGATTATTCGCACGTTAAGGTATTTAAGATTACTTTAATTAATTGTTTCAATCGATCGCTTGTTTGTAATGCACAGCCCTTTATATTATTTTATTAAGTATTATTTGTGTATTTACGTGGAAGTAAATTATCAGTGCTCTGTATAGTCCGTTGCGGAAGTACCTCATACAGTTCCGATTTTCATTGTATCTGTTTTCTTGTGTCAATTGCATCTCGTACCCGATGCCGGAGGATGCGCAAGCAGTACAAAAAGGGAGGTCCTCTAATTAACACATCTTCGGCTTAGTATGTGGATTTGTTTGTGTGATAATCGACTTTACCTTGAATACTGCTTGTATCATCATCTGAACCTGCCATTTTTATGGGTTTATCTGCTATCGTGCTACAGTGATTTAAAATTGGCGCAAAACTCCTGACCTTTTGACACGAAAGGTAAATAGTTCTGCTTGTAATCAACAGAACACAAAAAGTCGCATTTAGACCTGCTGTGTATGCAGCTTAAAATATTTGATAAAACCAAATTAATCCAAAATGTCAGAAAGTGTAGGTAACGGATATGCATCCTATATATTTTGTGAAGCTGCGTGGTGAATTAGCATCCGCACATGATGTAGACTCAACTCCTTTCTGGTTGGAGTGATCGACATAAACAAACATGCATTTTTGTCTTGATTTTTCTCCTGTCTTCGCCAGCTTTTCCTAATTTAGAGCGATTTATAATGTTTCTTTAAAATACAGCTGAATTCAGTGGTTATCAATAGCACTATCCTTGCATTTAACTTAATTCTGATATTTCATGAAGTCGACTCTTCCCGCCTTCCACAAAACTAGCACGTCACACGAAGATGCATATCCGTCTCCTTTTATATCTGACACTTTGGTTTATGGTCCAAAACTTAACAGTTCCACCAATCAATTTCGCTGCATACAGTCAGGGTGTTCATACTAAGAAATACTCACACCAAAAGCGATCTTCACCCTGGGCCAACATTTGCGTTTCTTCCTTGATTTTATTCGCAGTAACCATAATAATAGATAAAATAAAAGAATATTTGGGTCTATTTAGTCGGTAGTGGATATGATAAAGACGATCCATGCAAAAACGATAACTATTGCAAAATATGCAATTGGAAGCTTCATAAATGTGCTACAAGCAAATAGTCAGTGTATGTAAAAAAGCGGCAGTTGCGATCCATAAAAAATGCGACGAGCAACCATTCCCCATTAGGGGACGATGGTAGATGCTACTAAATCGCAGTCGACTAAAAAAACTGCAATCTCGGGTGCGACTGGCAACACTTCCCCGATACGATCTAATGGTATCTAATATAATAAATCGGCGGTCGATAGAAAATAGGCGGCCCGTGAAAGAGAGACTGGTGCTGCGAAAAATCTGATTCATGGTACATGCGACAAACAACCTTCCCACAGTACCGTCTAAAAATTGGTCGATGATAAATGGGCGGTTGATACAAAATAGGAGGTCCATGCAAAAGTGTTGCGAAAAATGTGATCAGAAGATGAAACGAATCAGGCGGCCCCTGCGGAAGCGGTGGATATTGCAACAATGCGCAGTCTCTTCCATAGAGGAAGATGTGACAAACAACTCTTCCTCATTCCGAAGGCTGTCATCATCATTATAAGTTCATATATTCAATAATTGAGATTGATCGATTTCCCCCGTATGCTAACGGCTCAAAACCGTTACTTTGTCTTAGAAACCATTTATGGTTAGGCGTTAGGTCTACAAAGTATAGTCAAAATGAGTCCAGAGTAGTCCTACCTGTATGTGTCCTTTGGTGTGCTTTAAGATGCGAACTTTTCGTGTAGACCTTTTTACATCCGAGAAATTGGCACTTGTGTATCCTCCTTTTCGAGTCGGGGGAATGGTCGATTCTTGCGTGTTTCGCGCCCGTCGGCGCCGCCGGCGATGCGGGCGACGGTGCCGCCGCCCGAGGTACCACTGAAATGTATCTGGTAAGTCCCGATGCACGTACTCGCACAATCGTATTTCGTGGAACACCCCCCATTCGTAAAACGTCCAGTTCGCCCGCACTCGAACTACCGTTGCTATGGCCCTGCCCGGATTCCGGACTCGAAGGTGGCGTTAGCGTTGTGGAATTCCTATCGACGAGCCTTAACTGTAACGGATCCGCGGTATCGACCCTAACCCTCTCCTCGTAGGTGTCCTCATCGTCCTCCTCGTCGTCTACCGGTTCTTGCTTAACTAACACAGCGCACGATAACGTACTGTCCCACGAATACGTCGAACTTGCCGAACT